GAAGATAATCATAATCCGAAATGTATATGTACCTAACAACAAAACAAACAGAAGAAATAGAAAGATAAATAGAAAGATTCACAATTATATTTGGCGATTTCAACACTCTTCTCAAAGTAACTGGTAAAACAAAAAAGAAAGTCAGTAAAATATTGATCAGAAGAACACTACCAATCAACTTGACTATGATTGTTAGATTTCTTCATAGATGCCTTAAAATTATAACTTCTAACGTAAAATTATAACAACAACATGGACTCTTTTCTGGTGCATATGGAACAGTTACCATGCATATCTTGGGTCATAAAACAAATCTTATCCAATTTAAAAGAATTGATATCATACAAAGTATACTCTCTAACTTGTAATGAAATGAAACTAGAAATAAGTAAGAGACAATATTTGGAAACTTAACAAGACACATAATTTGTAACCTATGGATCAAAGAAGTCAAAATGGAAATTGGAAAATATTTTTAACTGTATAAAGACAAAATACAGCATACCAAAATTTGTGGAACAAAGCTAAAGCAGTGTTTAGAAGATCTGTGGCATTTAAGTGCTTATATTTTAGAAGACAAAAGGTACCAAATCAATAATCTGAGGCCCCACTTTAATAAATTGGAAGAGAAAATTAAACCTATATCAAACAGATGGAAGAAAATAATAAAGAACAAAAGACATTGCAATTCAAAGCAGAAAAAATAGAGAAAATGAAATCAAAGCTAATTCTTTTTAAAAGATTAATAAAATAGATAAATAGAAATGGAGGAAACAGTTTCAAAATCTTTAGGAGGCCATAAATACCCTGATAACAAAACAAGAACAAACATCATAAGAAAAGAAAAATATAGATCAATAGAATTCATGAATATAGATATAAAAATACAATGAAATATTACCAAATTGAATTCATCAATATACAAAAAGACAATACATCATGACCAACTGGGGTTCATCTCAGAAATACAAAGCTGCTTCAAGAGTCAAAAAATCAGTCCATGTTGTTTACCACATTCACGGACTATAGAAGACAAATTATATGATTATCTGAATTGATACAGAAAAAGCATGAGACAAAATTCAAAAGTCATTCTTGATAAAACTGTCAGCAAAGTAGGAGTAGGAGGGAACTTCTTTAAGCTGATAAAAGAAAACCTATAACTAACATCATATTTAATGGTGAAGGATTGAATGCTTTCTCCCTAAGACTGAGAACAAGCCAAGCTTACTGCTCCTATTAAAGATTGTACTCAGTTGTAATATTGTATGCCATGAGAATAGGTTAAAATACGAAGTCAGTGTATTAACAAATGGATAAAACTAATGTAAAAAATAAGAACTGTGCCTCTTCTTCCTGCTTTATATTATATATTGTGGTGTGAATACATTATGGAGGGAATTCAGCTACACTAAATAGTTTGAGACCACTGAAGCCAAATTCTTTCTAGGGTCATTTTCAGTGCTACAAGTTGTAGTTGTATAGGATATGATTAAATCTACATAAACAGTTTCTGCCTGTTCTCAGAAAGAAAAAAATAAAGAAAAGAAAAGAATGTACTTGAAGACTTAACCAGTGCATTAAAGAAAGAAAAGCGATAATATGCACACACATGAAAAGAAACAAAAATGCCTCTCTTTGACATGATTGTCAATGTAGAAAATCCCAAGAAATCTATAAAAAAGATCCTACAAATAATAAGATTAGTGAGGTCGTGGGGTACCATGCTAATATACAAGAATCAATTTTTATACTAAAATGAACAATTGAAATTTGAATTTTATTCTCAAATTACTGCTTACACTATCATACATGCACACACAGAAGAAATATTTGGTAGGATTTTTATGCTGAAAACTAACGTTGATGAAAGAAATTAACGAAGACCTAAATAAATGGGGACAAGGTACTGTGTTCATAGATGGATGACTCAATATAAAGATGTCAGTTGTCCCCAAAATGATTTGTAGATTCAATAAAATCCCAATCAAAATTCCAGTAGTGCTTTAATATTTTTAAGAATTCAAAATTACTAGAACAGCCCACAACAATCTTAAGAAAAAGAACAACATGGAAAACTCACACTGCCTGAGTTCAAGACAATACAAAGCTATAGTTATTAAGACAGTGTCACACTGGTGTTAAGGAAGGGATTTCAGAAATAGAGATTTTAAAAATAGACCCACACATATTTGGTCAATGGATTTATGACAAAGGTGCAAAGGTAATTCATAGAAAGTGTAGTCTTTTCAATAAATGGTGTGTGGTACTGGAACAATTTGACTTCCCTGTGCAAATTAATTAGTAGATTAAAAATAATGAAAAAAACAGACAGATAAACCTCAACCCAGACCTCACATCCTATAATTAAAATAAATAACCTCAAAATGGATCATGGATCATAGACCAAACAGTAAAATCTAAAACTTCTTTAATAAAACATGGGAGAAAATCTTTATGACTCTGAGTGAGGCAAAGAATTTTTAAATATAACAGCAAAGCCATGATCCATAAAAGAAAAATATGATAAATTACTTTTTCAAAATTTAAAACTTTTGCCCTCTGAAAGACACTCTTATGAGAATGAAAAGAGTAGCCACAGACTGGGATGAAATACTTGCAAATCTCATATCTGACAAAGGACTTCTATACCCAGTATGCAAAGATGTCTCCAAATTCAACAATAGTAAAACAAAAAACTAGTTGAATAAATGGACAAAAGATTTGCCGACACTTAACCAAAGATAATATATGAATAAGAAACAAGCAAATGTAGAGATACTCAACATCATCAATCATCAGAGGACTGCAAACTAAAATAGAAAACTAAAATAGAAAAAGGACTGACAATACCAAGTGCTTCAAGGATTTGGAGCAACTGGAACTCTTACCCATTGCTGCTGGGAATGTAAAATGATACAATCACTTTGGTAAAAGTTTGACAGCTTTTTATAAAGTTAAATATATAATATGATCCAGAAATCCCACTAGTTTGCATTCACTTAAGAGAAATAAGCACTTACGGTGACACAAAATCCTGTACACAAATGTTTATAACAGCTTTGTTCATAATCTTACAAAAACCAAAAACAACCCAGATGTCTTTGAACTGGTGAATGAACAGATGCTCTTTTGTATGCCCATAAATGGGATACTACTTAGCAATGAGAACAGTTGATACATGCCACAACATGGATGAGTCTTAAATGAATAATGCCTAGTGAAAGAAGCTAGGTTCAGAAGGTTACCTACTATCATGATTCCATTCCATGGCATTCTGGAAAACATAAAACCAGGGGGACTGAAAATAGAGCAGTGCTGCCAGGAGTTGAAGGTAGAAACAGAGTTTGTTTACAAAGTAGTAGGATAATGGAATTTTGGAGGATGATGGAACTGTCCTATATTTTGCTTGTTGTGCCTGATACATGATTCTATGAATTTGTCAAAACAGAAACGTTTACCAACAGAGTTAATTTTAGTATATGCAAACTAAAATATATAGGATTCTTTAAAAAGATCCCTAAGCATTACTTTCTTTTTCTGCATTTGTTTCTAAGAAGTCATTCATTGCAAGATGAACCATTATTTACTATTAAAAAAGGAAAAAAAGCACCCATTAATCTATAGTTTGACAATGATTATAAAATGTATCCTGATTTCAAAATCGTCATAATGTGAAAAGAGTATATTTTAAAATATGTATAATATGATATTTACAAATTGGAGCTTATTCTCAGACTTCTATCCAGGGATATTTTCTGAGTCCTGCATAACTCTGATTATTTTTCATTATTTGAGTATGAAGATTGAAACTACTATATTAGTCCATAAAAGTCCTAGTATAGTCATCTTTATATAAGAGAAATTAAAAGGAGAAAATAAACCTTGCTTCAAACATTTTTTTAAAAAGGCCAAATGCAAAACATTAAGCTAGGACTGTCATTTATAAATGTACCTCATTTAAGGGAAATTCAATATATAAATTATCCTAGAAATAGATGAGTTAGAGCAGGTTGCGATGAGGGCATCTGATTACTTATCTTAAATAATAATTCATCAGAGCTCCTTTAAATAATAAATGTTCCACTGTGGTTTTAAACACCTCATTTTAGCCAAATTTGATTATCATGTGTTTCTTTGAGAACTTCTAATGTGAGTTTCATCTGTAGATGTAAAACAGAGCTTTGTCTTTGTGCATTTTATCTAAAATATGATAAATAAATTGCTTCACACCTTAATGGAGTCTATAGTTGACAGAGATTGCTGTGAACCTCAGAGTGGTTACTAATTTGGGTATGTAAACACAACAGGCTTTGTTCTGGAGACAACAAATACTTGTATCTTGGGAGAAACAACAAAGACTGCAGAATTCATAATTATTTCAAAATTAGGACTGATACTTTATGATATTAATAGACTCAATTCATACCATAACCATTAGTGTTTGATATATATTGTGCACACACACAAAGACGGAATGGATAGATCCAATTAAACAAATACTGGAAAAAATACTTAGCTCATAATTTTTTAAGTGATCAATGCAAACGCAAACTGCCATTTATTCAAGGGTGTGCTGCTTCATGACATTAATGTGCTCCTAAAGAGCTCAAGTCGGTGTTCTGTAAAATTGTTATAAATCTTGAATGAAACTTGCAGTAAAATAATGAAACCTTTTGTCATGTAAGTTTTTATTTAACTGTGTTGCTTGTCTATATGTTGAATGTTGAATTTTCTTCATGGCTTAACAGTATTCAGAGACGTACAGACAGGTAGATACATCAGCTTTTTTCTTATTTTCAGGGTAATTATCCTGTAATGTGTGGCTTTTTCCATGAATACACCTCCTGGAAAAAATTTGTTTCAAATTCTAATGAGATACTAGAACCAAACATTGTGAAGAGTGTTCTATCCAGTAAAAAGAGCCTGGATTTTTAATTCTTAAATAGTGGAATGATGTTGCATACATGAAATAAAAAGGCAGAAGATACAATGAAGTATTGCATGTGCTCAATATACATCCATTTATTAATGCATATGCCAGAGGATTGCATTGTACTATGCATTTGGAGACGTCATTAACAAAGGACTTGCTTATCAATTTAACATGAATTAGTGGATCTTACTGTCTGTGTTTTCACACCCAGTAACAGCATGGTTCTGAGAGTCATGATACTTTTCATTTCTGTTCTTAACATATCAGACCAGCTTGTTCACAAAGCACAGTCACTATAACAGGATCTTGTTCCTGCATGTGTATGTTGCCCACTAACAGTTATGACCGTAAGTTACAACTACAAAGTACTCTTCTACAGCCAAGGATTTAGGCACAGATTCTAAAAAGTCAAACCATAAAAACAGAGAAAATGCAAATATTCATAAGCTATTTCATATTCAAACTCTAACCTAGTTATATTTTTATCTACCGACCTGTAATAAGTTGTTTTCCTATTGCATTGTATGCATCTTGGGCTTATAAATAACATAAATTACAAAACTGTAAGCAATTTCTTCAGACTTCATTTTACATTTTTCACTAAATAGTTGAAGACGTGACTTTTTGCTCCAGTGCAATATGTAGTAATGCTGCATTCAGTAAAAATTGTTGCATATTTCTAAAAAGAGAAAAGCATTTAACTGATTATAGCACTCAGTAAATAAGGAGTTAGTCATAACTGTCAGAAGGAAAACACTAACAGTATAATTACTTATCATAGGTAATTTAAGAAACAAACCTTCCATCATACTCCTAAACCATTAGTCGTATGACTTTCTAAAGAATGAAATCTAGTAAAGCCAAGACATAATGCTAGATGGCAAATGCTTCAACTTACCTTTTTTTTTTTTTTTTTTTTTTTTTACAAATGTGATGTGACCTTCGCAGTTTTAAAGAACAAAGTTCTGTTGATATATCAAACACTGTTAACAAACTATTTAGCATTACTTTTTATAAGTTTGCTTTAAGAGCATTTCTTCACAGTGATTTCAGAAAGGTTGGAAACCGGTTGGCATAAAATATTTTCCACATTTTCTATTTTAATATGTATGCAAAAATCATCACAATATATCTGCAACTATAAAATTACAAATGCTTTCTAGAAGTAACTGCATTTCTAGTCATGATAGAAAAGGGTATTTGTAAGACATCTATAATGAGGTAAGTCTAAATAGAATTTGAGTAACAGATGCTTTCATATCTACTGGCCATATACACCAATGTAACAAGGACAACTAATGGACCAACTTAAGAGACTGTTTTTTAGTATGTTTAATGGATGAGAAATTGGTAATGAAATAAACATTTTAAAAGATACTCTGGATATTTCACTTTACATCATAATTTTGGCACTTCATGGAACATTTGTTTCTCAAAGACCAGAAGTGGTATAAAAGTTCCACAGGTTTTCCACATACCTTGTAGACATTGTTCTTGAGTACTGGGCAAACACTGAAACGTAGTGAAATAAACATTCCCGTGTATTTGCACATGCATGCAGTAGTCAAACAGTTATAGTTTATGAATTCTCATAGATGCTATCTTACAGTGTTTGTTTCAAGCACTCTCTTCAGCAGATCTTGTTTCAGATTTAAGTCTTACAAATTCTTTAGCCACACTGTCACTGGTCCTCTGCGAGAGGATTCTAAGGATAGTCAAACCAGTTTCATCCATAGAGACGTTTTTCAATAGGGGATACCATGCCCCGTGGCTTCCTTTTTCTGCTATGTTCTGAAGCTGAATTACTGTCATTCCGATAATTCGATCTTCTCTGGCAAAGCAGTAATCTTTAACTGAAAGGTGAAGTTCATAGGCCCGTGGGCGGTTTTCTTTACTCAGAATGCTGTGTGGATTAAAAATATGGATTTTGAGCATTTTCAAATAGGGATCAATATGGTTCTAATAGACTGTTGAAAATTTTATATACTGCTCAGAATATTATATTGGCAAATAGAGTATCATTGTCTTTGAACTCTGATGCAAATACCCTTTAAATTTTACTTAGATTGTATTTATATAGCTATTACTCTGCAATCGAACTTAAAAAACTCCTTCTTTCCCTAGATGGAAATAGGAAATCAATCTAAAAATGCTTTACTGCCCTGATGTTAAGGATATTAATAGAAACTGGAATTAAAATATTATGTTGTAATTAATCATTGGAGGCAAGGTCTCCCCAGTGATATAGGGGTAGGAGGCGTTACTAGGGGTCATGGAAGCTAGGCCGGGGGGACGGGTACCTTTTGGAAGAATTGCTGTGCCATTTCAACATCCGTTATTACAATTTCTTTTCTTTACCTCAGACTCTTGGATACGCTGTTATATCTAGGAGCCTTTTCTCAGGGCAATACACTGCACAGACTACCAAGCACTATTCACAAGATGTTAAATTGCATACAGATCTCCAGAGTAAATCAGTTCCAGCAGAGCCTGGTGCTTCAATGCGAGCTCTTTCCTATGGCAACAGTTAGACCTGTCAAGATTGGGGCTGAGGGTGGCCTCTCCTAATAACAACCCAAGACAACTTAGTGCAGAACTGAACCTAATGAAGAAGGCTGAGTGGTGAAACTCTGAGGATAATCCTTCCCTGCCCCTCATTTTAATTCATCCTCAGATAGTCCTGACTTTTTAATGAATGCACATCTATTCCTCAGCAGTACAAGCTTCCAAATTCCTTCCTTTTCTAAGTCATTTTTTCTGATCAAACATTTTGCCGAGTCAGACTTTTGTTTCCAGGTGACATTGACAACTAAACTGTGTACTTATTTTAAGAGACAATCTGAAATAACATACAAGAAGATGGAATCCTGGGGGGTAAGAATAGAATGGCAAAATATGACAGGATCTGGGTCTTCTTGTGAATTAAAATGAGTCAAAATGCCACCTTTTTCCAGAATTGTGGTCTTGGTAGCTCACAGTGTTGTATCTGAATTTTGCATTATCCAAGTATTCCTAGAACCTTTTGGAAGACTTTTCAGTTGGATCAAAGTTTTTGTGTAGTTTGGATGAGCAGATAGGTGGAATCCTGTGAGCTGGTTTATTAGTGGGATTAATCTGTTAGAACCCTTTTAATTGATGTGGTAGGATAGTTAAGTTTTAATGAGTGGTAAGAGAGTGAAATATTCAGAAAACAGAGTGCTGCAAGGTCTCTGGGAAATCGAGAATGCAAAATAACAAAGAATCAAACAAGTAAGGGATGGTTTGGTAAGTGTGCATGCATGTGCATGTGTATGAAAGCCCCTAGGGCTTGGTCCTGTGTCCCTGCTCTCTGTCTCTGGGTCAGCTCATGTAGATCTGTAGAATTAATTACATCTATATGCAGATAATTCTCAAGTTATATCTAACTATGTATTTAATATCTCCTCTTGGATGTACTGTAGGCATCTCCAAATTAATAGATTTAAAACAAAATCTTTGATCTCCTCATTGCCTGTCTATTTCCCCATCTCAGTAACTCAACATCTACCCAATTGCTTATGCCAAAAACTAGGAGTCATCCTTGATTTTATTCAGTGCCAGATAGCTTCCGTTTGCTCCAGCTGGATCTACTCTCCATCCTTCTTCTTGTACTTTGCAATACAATGCTGACCTGTAAGGACTACACACATTGAGTTTCTCTGTGCTCTGGCTTCCAGTTGGGTTTGGCCAAAAGGGAGCATCATTAGAAAATCAGAAAAAATGGTGAGAGTGAGGTCAGAGTTTATTTCTCTGGCTTCTTGCTTCTGGCTTCTTGCATGTGAGGCTCCCTCAAGTAGGCTGTTTCCCTCCATGGAAGGTCACTCTCCTAATAAGGTGAATGACTACAAATGAATTTTCACAGTCCCAATTTTAGTAACTGCTCTTCCTCTCCTGTAGGCACAGGAGGGGTAATAACCTGGCTATTACTAGCCCCAGGTTACATCACTATTGCTCACAGTCCCTCTATTCACACATCTTTGTACATTCCTTTGTAAATATGTCTTGAATTAATCTAAATTGAATGTTCTTGGGAGCCTAATTCATATACTCTTTCTTTCATATTCTATCTCCAATCCACTGTAAATTCTATAGGACCTCTTAGAACTCCAAACATATCCAAAATATTTCCACTTTTTTCCATCTCTTGACTACTTCCTTCCCCACTAAGACTACCTGATCAGTCACTATTATCTCTTACCTAGACTACTGCAGTAGGCTTCTAACTTATCTCTACTTGTTTGGTCTTGCCTTCCCTATAGTTACTTCTCTATACAGCAAACACAATAACCATTAATGATGTAAATCAGATTGTTCAAACCCTCATACGAAAAGCCTTCAACGTCTCCTGTTGAGCTTAGAATGTGACCCAGGCTCCTTTACCACTGACTTCAAAGCCCTGTGTGATGTAGTACCTGACCACTTCTTCAAATTCATTTTATCTCACTCCCTTGCCCACCACATACTGTTTCTTAAATATGCCAGGCATGCTCCTGCTTAGAATCCTTGCACTCGCAATTTTCCTTGTCCTAAAATGCTCTCAACTCTCTTCCCTAAATGACTGGTTCTTTATTTTCTCAGGTTCCTATTTAAAAGGCACATGCTCAGAGAGGCTTCCCTGAACACCCCATCTAAGCAGCCAACCGATCACTCTATTGCATCACCCTGTTTTAATGCTCTGCTTAGTACTATCAGATGATAACTTTATTTATTTATGATGTTGTTTATCATATGTTATTTACCTCTAGAGAGTAACTTCCACGAGAGCAAAGTCCTCCTTCTACATATATCCAATGCCTGTACTATTGCCTGATACATGGTAGGCACTGGACAAATACTTAAATGGAAGAGAACTAAAAACAGAGCCTTCTTCATTTGCCTTGGATCAATGATGAACAGGAATCCTTAAACCCATAGGTTTTGCTTTCCTTAGCAAAGCCCAGTGCCATTCCTACCCTGTGAGTCGCTTGTAAGTGTAGCTCTACAATGCCTGTTGCCTGGTTAAATAAAGGAGTCAGGTCATAACTTACAACTGAAATGTTTCGTTATACTTTGGTGACCATGTGTTGCTTTTTGTCTTTGTGCCTTGTTTTCTCTTCTTGTCTCCGAGGTTGGGTCCCAGCATACAAACTTCCACAAAGGGGCGGAACGTTGCAGTGGTCTGCCAGTTTAAGTCATTAATAGCAATCACTAAAAACGAAAATGAAAGAGACAGGAATATAAAGTATTAGCAAACGAATGTGTAGAATCCTAGACTCTCCCTTTGATCCTTAGAGTTAATTTTTATTTTTAAAAATGATGTGTGAAGTTGTAACTTGCATTTGATAGCACCCTAACCCCACTGACAAGGAAAAACAATTTACTCTCTGGGCTGCACGCTTGATGGCACTTTCAGCTCTAAGCCATGTGGCATTGGGATGGCAAATGTTAGCTGTAATTGAAATGACAATCATTAATACTAAAAAGTTGTGATTCTTGTTTAGGTGAAAAAATGATGCTTTTCATATTAAAATTATATGTTCTTCATAAAATATTTAGAAAACAGATTTTAAAAATCTATAATTTTATCACTCAGAAGAAATGACTGTTAATATCTTGGTATGATGTTTTCAATCTTTATATATAGAATGGGATCATAATGTATTACAGTCTTATAAGTAGCTTTATTTTTTAAGCCCATCATGGGTAGCATTCTAATTTATTATATATTTTCCAACAGCAAATATTTCATTATATGTACATTTCATTCTATATTTACCCAATCACTTGTTGGTGCATATTATGGCGGTTTCCTAATTTCAGGCATCATAAATAATACTTAAATGAACATTCTCAAATAGGTTTGCTCATCCTTTGATGATGATATCCTTAAGGAATTGTCTTACAATTAAATTTGCTAGTGCAAAAGGTTGATAAAACTTTTACCATTTGATATGCATTGTCAGAATATTTTTCAAATATATTTAGTGACACTGGAATAGATAGTCATGCCCACTTTTCTGTATGATTACCAGTACTGCATATAATCTATTATAACCCATAGCAGTGTTACTTTATAATACAAAGATACATTAGGTAATGCAATTTTAAAATATGTTAGAAGGCCATGGTTTTGATTAAAGTAGATACTATTTAAAGTGACTAAGTCTATAATAATATAAAAATAGAACACGGTTCTATTGAGCAAAGTATTAATCATTAAGTTACGTCTTTGAAATGACCCCTCTTTTCAGATTGTGCTTTTACAATATAAAACCAATTGATTCAACCACCCATTTAAAAAAAATCAAACAGTTGTTGGAAATCACATAGAAAAAGTAGGTAGATTATGTGGATAGTAAGAACATGCTGACTTAACATCTAAAATGTCATTGGCAAGTTGGAGCCAACCACAGCACCAGTGTTCAATGTATATCATAGCCTCAACCATAGAGAACACATGTTCAATGTATACAGTTTTGAAATGTAATCACCAATGTATTTAAACCATTTAGATATTTCAGGTAACATAGGTTAAGTACCTGTGCCATTCATTTTTTTCAGTTTTAAATCAAAAGTTCTAGATTCATGAAGAAATTCTGAGCATGCCCTGAAATCATTTAATATAGATTTTTAAAGAAAGATTCAAGAAAAAACATTTTTGATATAATTATTTCCAGAGGTTAAAGTCTGATAGGCTGTTTTATCTACCTGGACCCGAAATATACCTTTTATAGTGACTTTATGCTCTCCTGTTCCTGGGGTGGCGGTGATGTCCACATGAACAGATATCTGACCCACTGAATCTCTGGAGGAGGGACCTGCAAATCAGCAAAAGTTTACTGGCTTGACCTTTCAGACCACTTAATAATGGACATCAGCACTCTGTGCACAAGGGACTGTAAAGCGTGATCATAGAAATAAATGATTCTTTTCGTTAACAGCACATAATAGATTTTGATAAATGTTCACTAAATTAAATTTGCTATGCAGGTTTGAGGCTTGGGTATAACCATATTTAGCCCATTTAGCTAAACTTTCATATAGTACTCAGATACCTTAAGGCACACTCTTAGTATTACTATTGTTTAAAAAAAAAAAAAAAAAGGCAGTTGCCTTTCTAGGCACTTAATAAAGCTCTCCTCGTTGTTGCTTATGTACAAAGATGTATCATGCCTTTCACTCCTTTGTGAAGTGCTTTTCTTCAGTGTACCACACCGGAGCACCCAGGATACAAAGATGGCTCTACAGAGCACCTGCCCTCATGAGGCCCACACTAGACCAGGGGAGAGCAACATATACACATATTGCTGCATATAGTGTGATACATTCTAAAATAGATACATTTACAAGGTCGACTGATGGTATAAAAAGGAGTAGTCAATTCTACCCTGATAAACGTTAGTCAAAGGTTAAGAATGTTGTATTGGAAAGTGCCTGTGATTTGGGGTCAGATAAGCTTGAATTCAAATCATAGTTATGCTGCAACTGGTTCTGTGATTGGAATTTGCTATGTTCTCAAGTCTTGGTTTTCTCATTTGTAAAACAGGGATAACTACATCACCCTCATACACACACACACTTATCTATTAACGTATCACCTATAAGCACGTATATTTTTTTCACAAATAAAAAGCACATGCTCTAATTATCATTTACCTTGCCTTTGTCTTCTCACCTAAAAATATATTAAGAAGATCATTCCATTTCAGTATACATAAAGCTATGCCCCATTCTTTAATATAGTCTGGAATATCACTGCATTAACTACAAAGTTAGTGTTCCCTGAGTACTTGCTTAAAAATGAATCACTAATCTGCTTACCAAATAATGAAAACATTAAAATATTTAAAACATTTAAAATAATGTTTAGCCTTTATTCCATTACATGAACATCCATTATTTATTTAACTACACTTTGGTTGTTTCTAATCTCTTGCTCTTATGAGCAAAATGTAACAAATAATTATTTTTCATATTTACAAGTTTATCTATAGTATAATTTCTAGAAATGGTATTTATTTGTCAAAGGTAGGTGGAATTCTAATTTTGCCCCATAGAGATTTTAACCATTTACAATATATATGAGAGTAATAAGAATCTTATTTTTGTAAAATAAATGGCTAGTGACCAAGCTGAAAATGAAAGGTTCTAAGAGACTTCCAATTTCTAACTTCAGAAAATCACTGGATTTCAGCCAGAACCTCTTAACAGGACATGCTGAGAAGAGCTCCTTCACCAAAAGCAGCTCTCTCACCCACACTCCACCCCAGCCATTTGATAATAAAAGAATTGAAAGATAGAAAGGGATCACTCTGGGCATTAACCAAGGGACTGTTCATTGTTCTGTGGGAAGGGAAGAGAGGAAATGTTTCCTTTTCCTGAGGTGAAGGAAAGAAAACTCCAAGAGAAGTACTCCTAGACTCCGGAAGTGCCAGCAAGATGAGCATTTCATTTTTTTAATTGGCTGCCTACTTAGCAGACCTGGGCATGACCCAGTGAGGAACAGCAAGCCACAGAGTATGCCAGGACCTTCCCCTCTGCTTAAAGTCATCGTTGCTGAGAAATATGGCAGATGGCTCCTGAATGGGCTTGAAGTGCCAGAGTTGGGGACAAGAGAGGGATAATGTGATTGTAGGCTCTGGTTTTATCAGGGATTGTCACAGACGTGGTAAAGAGGCAGGCCTCTCAAAGGAATGTGCTATGCCCAGGTGAGGTGCAGCAGGAAAAAGTGGCCAGGTCTCGAGTCTTGGAAGAGTTCATCAATGGCCTGGGCAACTATTTGGAAATAAGTTTCACACCAGCCAGTTCTATCAATCAAGCTTGTACTTCCCCTAAGAGAAGGAGCTGGAAAAGCGCTACCACTAACTGAATAGACAATGACCTTTAAATAGATAATGACCACTAATGGCCACCACTGAAGTTTTTTATTTTATTTTATTTTATTTATTTATTATTTTTGGCTGTATCGGGTCTTAGTTGCGGCACGCGGGATCTTCGTTGAGGCATGCGGGATCTTTCATTGCAGCATACAGGCTCTTTGCTGCGGCTCATGGGCTTCTCTCTAGTTGTGGCCTGCATGTTTTCTCTCTCTAGTTGTGGTGCGTGGTTTTCTCTCTCTGGTTGTGGCACGTGGGCTCTCTAGTTGAGGTGCACGAGCTCAGCAGTTGTGGCGCATCGGCTTAGTTGCCCCTGGGCACGTGGGATCTTAGTTCCCCGACCAGAGATTGAACCCACGTCCCCTGGGTTGGAAGGTGAATTCTTTACCACTGGACCACCAGGGAAGTCCCCAACCATTGAAGTTTAAATAAAGAGTCATCTTTCTCTTTTCTCTCTTTCCTTCCTCTTCAGTATCAGGGAAACTACGTCCAGGAGAAAGAGGAAAGGTACACATTACAGAAGCTCATGTCTTCCTCCACCTCCTGCTTCTACTGCTAGAGTCACCATTTCCCCCTGCTTGTGTAGAAAGGAGAGCTTTGAATCCAATAAGTGATTAAAACTTTAATGTGAGCAGAACAAGGTCTTAGAACCTGAATAACTTTCTAATAGTGCAAGTAATTAATATGGCATGTACTTGGTTGTTGATATCAGTGAGGGAGGTGTCTATGCAGTAGAAAGTAGGACTCATAAGAGGAGATGATAACACTTTTTGGAAAAATAAAATAGTTTGATATCATTCCTAAACTGGTGACATATTTATGATATGAAGAATAGAATATATCTTCCCATTATTCAGGTCTCCTTTTGTGTATTTCAATAATGTTTTACATTTTTCTTCATGTGAATATTAAACATTTTAAAAGCTTATTCCTAGTTGTGGTATCTCATCCTATTTTAAATGGGACCGTTTCTTCCATTATATTGTATAACAGGAAGTCTAGTGATTTTTGTATATTTCTTTTATTCAGCCAACTGAATTTTTAATGAAAGATTTACATTTACCCCTTTTGAGTAAATGAAATACAATCATATTATTTTCAGTGAATGACACTTCTCCTTTCCAGGTTTTATACCTCATATTGGTTGCCTTGGCTAATTTTATTAGCTTATGTTTCTAATACTATATTCCATGACAGTGTTAGAAGGGGACATGCTTGTTATCCTCCATTTGGCTCTCCAAAGTCATTTTCCACCCTTCTCCACTCTGCCCTTAGATGGGCAATTCAGTGGTCTCCTCTATCCTGTACTGCCGCTGAGAAGTCCTGGCAAGGTAGGGGAAGGAGGGAGTAGAGTCGGGTCAGGTATTTATTTCTTTAGTCTCCTTCCTGTGGGGTCACCTTTTGCTGGCTGAATCCTGCAACCAAAAATCAAAATTCCCCTCACCAGCCCTCAATAGGAGACAGTCTCTTTCCTGGTTTTAGGAGCTTCTTCCTCCCTTGTTATTTTTGTTGCAGGGAGGTTAGTTTACTATTTTTTCTGGTCTCTTTATATCCAGCACATACCTTTGTCCATAGTTTCTCTGTTAAATCCTTCTCAAATCATCTTAATTGAGTGTGCCATCTGATTCCTACTGCGACCTTGGCTAAGAGAATTAACATCTTTGATTTGCTCATAACGTTAATGGAAATGCCTCTAGTATTTTCACAATATTCTTAGGTCTTGAGGAACATTGAGACAATTTTTTTGGTGGGGGAGACAGGACATAAAATATGGATACTCACTACTTTACTGTTATCACGATGGATTTTACAGGGGAGAAAATGCTTAAGGAGGTTCTTGAAGGTTGAGTTGAAATTCAATTTTTTTAGACAAAGGGGCAGGAAATAGCATGCACCCACATGTGGATGCGTAAAACAGAATGGTGTGTCCTGGAAATTGCAAGGAGTTCATTATGGATGGAGCAAGCATAGATGGAGTAACAAGAGGAAATGTTAAAGAAAATGTTGGTCCTTTGAATGCCATTTAAAAGTTGTTAGACAAAAAAATTAAATAAATAAATAAATAAATAAAAGTTGTTGGACATTATCTTGGAGATACAGAGAAGTCTTTTAAGTTTTTGGCTATGGGTGGCATAGTCAGAGCTAGATTTTGAAAGAATTTGTCTCATCTGTGTAAAAGATAGATCATTTTTATCACCCTATTCCCTTCTGGAAAACCTCCCACTTGCATCTTATTATACCATGAATCAAATCCTAAAACCCAGCGCCTTGCAAGGATGCTTCTGATGACCTTTCCTTCATCTGCACTTCTGGTCCATGATGTTGTCTTTGGCTTAATTCTTCAAAACTTTCTTCATGTTTTCATCCACTCAAACCACATGTTTGGAACATCCTCCCTCCATTATCTTATGAAGCTCTGTCCAAACACCTCTACTGTAAAATACTCATCTTTCATTATTCTATAAAAATAATCTGTAGTTATATTCCTGATTTCCTCAAATACTATAACATAGTATAAAAAAACTGGGCAGTGAAATCAGACTTCCCTGATCATGAATCTGGTCTGTCACTCATTAACAGTTTAAGACTCCATAAACTTGCATTTCCTTATGTGTAAAGTGGGGATAAACACACCTACCTGGCAACATTATGGTGAGGATAAAAAGGGAAAATTTTGAAAAATATGTAGGATATTATGTGCCTTGCACATAACAGCTATCTGGTAAATGGATCCAAGTTTATGATGATAATAATTCTTAATAAGAGTATTTCAAAGTTATTAAATACCTCAAAGATTCATAGAAAAATTATGGAGAAAAATCCACTGATGCTATAGTTATCTAAATCAAATACTGCAATAAGACAACATGAGTGACTGGAGTTTTCCCCAACAACTTTGGAATTCTTACTTTCTTCAGTAAGATTTTCTGGACTGAGTACGC